CTCAAACCAAATCCCTGATGGAGCTGAGAAAGGTAAGTTGATCTCATTCCCCGAATAATAACACATTATAAAACAACAACCACAGCGAAACAAGGGCTCCTAGTCCAACTCTCACTCTGTAAATCAAATAATTGTGCTTACCGATTCACAGAGTGTAAAATGATCTTTACCATACGCAAGAACCCATCTTCCCTACTGGTGACATCCAGATCAGTCATGCTCTTATAAGTGGGGCCCTTCAATAGGCTTGAGGCCATAAACCATAACAGGTAAAGAGTCCCGAGACTAAATTTGTCCAGAAAAGCTCCTATTCACATCTCTCTTCCTTGTTATATTGGGTTTCAAACGTGGATGCAAGGGACAGTGCTGTCCTTGTTTGATTCTAATTATGGTCCTCACCTCAAAAGTTCCCCCTGGGGAACTTCCCTCCTCCCCTCCGAGGGGCCTAAAGACACTCTGACTGACTCATTAAGTGTCGAGGAGAATTAAGACAAACCAGAGCTGTCTGAGAGGACGCTGGAGTCTCACTGGAGACACTCTGTTTCAATTGTCTTATCTTCTTTGGCATGTGGAAGTTGACTGCTGAAAGCTGAATGATGCCACCGAGATGCAAGACGCTGAACAGAAAGTGTTGCTGAGACATCAGTGTAGGTGTGAGCTCTTTTGATTCAAGCTTACAATTGGATGCCGAGCTGATCCATGACATCTATTAACAAATATATTGTATATTATAAACTGTTTAGAATGGTACTGCTCCTCAGCCGGGAAGACAAATGAGGTTTAAAGGGCGAAAGGTGCAACTCAAAACACATTTCTCTGCAGCAGTTTTTTTTTCATCCTGGTCCAGTAATTAGGGAAGCAAACCACATTCTCATTGACTTTGTTCTGATGGATTTTTCCCAATATAACATTTCATCACTTTGCGCAAGATATGGATGGCTAAATGTACCAGGCTGGTAAGGAGTGGTATCACAAATGGATCAGATAGCTGAGCACAAACAAAGCATTTCCCTCAGAAGGATAATTATACAGTCATACAATACTTCCTCCGTCCCTGCATCCTCTTACACACGGCTGCAGCAATGAATGATTCCTCACGAGCTGCAGATCTTTCCTCCTGCCACTTCCAGTCGGCTTAAATGTTGACTGAAGGAAAAAAGGACAATTCGGCATTTTTAAAGGTCAGCTCAATCAAACACGTTTAACTCCTCGGTGAAAGGAACAAAGCCCATTGCGTACTGGGGAGGGTCATTTGGTGGTGGGGTTCTGCCCTCCTGTGGTCAGCACAGCACAGCAACGAGGTGTCTCAGAGGTACAATGAATGTTCCTGTTAAGTTTCTGTAATTGTACGCTGACAATTATCTTTGGAGGCGCTTTGGTTGCATTTAGTTTGGAATTATTCTGATCGTCAGCACAATGTAAGAAAAGCAGTGGTGTAAACGATACAGTAAATGATGGACGAGTTCCGTTTAGCTGCTTCGGTTTCCACGGCCTTGGCACTGTGAATACAAAACAGCACAGCGCCCTGCAAGTACTTTTTTACGATAAATAACTGTGGTTGTGAGTCAAAAAGCCGACGTGAGGTAAAGTGGAATGAGGATAAATCATGAAGGAAAGCGGACACAGCACATCAATAATGCCTGTCTGATCTGATAGCTGCAGGTGGATTTAATGCGGATTCTCCACTGGGCACAGCTGCTAAAACCTTCGGCCACGATGCCTCTGGACAGCTTGTGAAGTACCTTTGTGTTAAAGAAACCCTGGCCTACAGCCTATTTCTAAGCCGCGTGTGTTGCACAATGTCAGATTTTGCCGTAAATTTGAATTTACTGCGTAGGATGAGCGTTGTGTTGAGCGCTTGGTGAGAGATGGACCCGGAGGAGGAAGAGGATAGATAGAAAGAAGCAGAAGCTGAAATGAATGAGTGAAAAATTAAAAGAGGCAGACTGCATGTTGGTTTTCAAACATGGTTTTGCCAAGAACGACCTAATTGTGATTTAACACAACCGCCCAAGGTTCAAGTGTCACGTTGGCCTAAAAGCTGACATTGAGTGGGAAGAGAAGATGCTCACTGTGCAAATTAAAACTATCCGGAGCAGAGACAAATACATCTGTACCCGCAGGGACTAGTGCTCGAATAATCAACAACAGTTCAACAGCTGTCCAGATAAGATCAGGACGTTCCTGCTAACTTTTACAATTAAGTTTTCTCCTCCATTTGTGTTGCTTGGCAACCATTGTGCAAAATGTTGCTTAAGAACAAAATTGCTGCCTACAGATGATTATTCACAATCAATAAATGATTTCACTTTTTGTTGCTGTATATTCTTGTTCTGAAACCGTGTAACAGACACATCGATCTATCAATAGAAAATGGAGGTTTATTCATCAGTATCACGTTATCAAACAATCCACATGTTCTTAACGTAGTTCGTTCAGCTGTGTGCCTTCATGAGACCCAGTGGAAGGATTTGGGCTGAGCTGCTCCCCAAAAATGCATTTATTTTATAATTCTTGTAGTTGTCCTATTTCAGCCTGAGGATTCAAGGTCCTATGACGAGAAAGTCCCAGCAATAAAGTAACAAGTGAACACAACGTGAAGGAGTTTGCTCACTGATGCTACCAGCTGTAGCTGCATTGGCTCTTGGAATATATATTAAAACTCCACTGAGGCGAGTAACAAAAGTGTTTGCTTGTGTGGGGATCTAAAATAAATAATGAAAAGGGCCCGTGATGTGGATAATAGATTTCATGCTGTTGAAAAGGAAGCTTGAATAATTTGGTTCATTGTGATCACTGCCGAAGCATGAAGCCACACAGAGGAACATGCGAGAGCTGCCCTTTCTACTACGGCACAACACACGTCCACAGTTTGGTTTTCCCCTCAGAGCCTGACAGTATTTTCCACCCAAATCCTGTTTCTCCCCATCTACAGCTTTATACCACTGACACAAAGTTGTTGATTGTTTTGTAACTGCGTTATTTGATTGTTTACAGGTGATCTGATCCAAATTTTCCATGTGGAAGGATTTTCATGATCGGATGGCTGACCTGCAACGTCTAAATGCAAATGTTTTAAAGATGAAGATTCTGGATTTATGGTGTAAATTAAGTGTGTGCAACAAAAAGGAATCAAAGGAGTTACTAAGTTTACAGTTCTACTAATCATAATTTTTTTAATAGGCAAAAATGAAATGTTATTTGAACAGCAATAATAATTGAATAACTAAAATGTACAAAATGTAACGGGGGAATTGGCCTTCTAAGATGGAAAAAAATATTGCAGGCGCAACCTCATTTGTAAGATATTCACTTTAAACCGGATCTTGACATATTAAAATGCATATCACGCAATGCAACATGAATCCCGGCTTTTATCCCAGAGGTTTGCATTGCTTCATAAAACCTGTCATAGTTTGACTTTCACACTTTCTCACAAACTGCGTTCTTGGCTTCAGAAATCATATATATATATTCCTCATGGCTCCAGATGTTTCATGATGTTCTGGTAGTTCGGTCCCTCTTCGTGAAACTGTAAACTCAACATTTAGAGCAACACCACTTAGTTACTAGAACAATCCTATTCCTTTTCTATTCATTTTGAGGACATTAAAGTTGGAAGCTAATAAGCGAGGCGCAAATATCATGTATGTCTTATTAAGTGTCAGAATGCCCACTTAGGAAGATGGACCCCAACAGAGAAACATATATGTACTGTTAATGAAAACCCTGATAATTTACAGATATGTTTGGACGAATGGGTAAGTGCTTCCATAGTGTCTACAACCACAATATCCTCTAGTGAGCTTTCTCTTTGGTTGAATCTCTCGCAGTCACAGAAAACCAGGAAAAAGTCTGTGGTTTGGGTGAAATTAGGCTTCAGCGGAAGTCACTTGTCAATTCAACCAAGATGAGAGGTTCACCTCATGGATATCTAGTTATTGTTTTCGTTGAGGTGTATAAAAGTCCCGAAAGGGACAAATTAAGTCTTTTAGAACCAGACAATCCCCCAAAGGACTTTTTGGGAGACTGTCCACATGTTGCGGCACAGGCGAATATAAACCCTCAACCTCAAGAGCTTCACTGACGTGAATCACCCCAAACCAATCCCACCCCACACATTCTTCTTGCAAAGTCGTGTTAGCAGAAGTTTCAAAAACTGCACCTCAACTCTATAATGCCCCTTCGTTTTGCAACCAGGGTAACTGCAGCGGTGGTTCAGAGCTACCATTTGATGGGTAGGAGCTCCATGCCTTCTGAAATGTTATTTCCAATCTTACTGGAGCCCATTTAAAAGCTAAATATCAAGATTATTCACCCCGTGCATTACATTTGCTCTCTCCGCAGTCGATTTGTGGAGTAGTTACTGTACCTCAGCACGGACGACCATCTCTCCAGAAAATGCACGAAATTGGCTGAAGCAGACTGAAACGGTAAGCAGAAGCACTGTGCGCTGGTTGGATTTGACCCATGACAGTCGTTTTTGCAGAGGGAATGGCCTGAATTAGTGTAGCTGTAACATTAGACCCTCGGGTGCACAGCTCTCCGTCTGGTTCCTGTGCGTAGTCCGATACTTCCGGAGGTGGATCGACTTGTTCTTTCAACGGGACACTAAAATACAGCACATGGCGCTCGCATCACAGGGTCCAGATTGAAATACCAACAGTGGGCGAGAAGATTGGGAAAGTGCGACTGAGATCCATCTGAATACAGCTTGAGAACCCAATCTGTTTGTGTTGGGCTTTTTAGTAGAACATTTCAACGTTTCATCTCGGGCTCATTAAAATACCCAGGACTAGACAAAGTGTCCAAAGTCCAGCATCGACGTCTTTTAGATTTATAAAAGCAAAGGGGCCTCCGGAGAGAGGACAGAGCTGAATGCAAGCAGAAACACAGTTGAATTGAATAACTTCACTTAGTTGTTTATATTTTAGCAGTCAAAAAAAAAAAAAACCTAATTGTCATGGGACAGATTTCTTATGACAGACATTAGAAGTATGTGTACTTTTCAAATCCCTTTATTGAACATCTTCAAGGCATTAACTTCCATTCCTCGCCCGTGTACTTCTTAACTACATCATCTTCATCGCTGCGCAGCAGAATGCCGAGTAAACACTGCGCCACTTCAAGCAGCTCTGCGATTTCATTTGATTCCACTGTTGCTCATGGTTTGGGCTTTGCAGACTCCTTTGCCGGCGACTTCAAAGGCTGCGCCCTTGTAAGTTGCGACGCACTGGCCATCGGTGCGAAGGTCCGGCTGAACCTGCTCCCACACCTTCTTTTTCGGGTTCAGCTCTTTGTCCGGTTCCCCTGCAATCGAGAAGTCCGTTTTAATTAGATTAGCATTAGAAGCTCTTCTGTTCTCTGCTCATTCATCACACTACAAAAGGACAGCTTTATGTATCCAGGGCCGTACTTGGGAACACTGTGTCCATCAGGCCAATTTGAACGTCGTCCTCTCCACGTGAGTTGCTAATAGTTGGACTTTCAATGGTGCTCGTTTAGATTCTCACCTTTTTTCTCTGCCATAATTCAAAACGTCTTGTCCAAACTTCTCTGTATCAAATCATGCATCCAGGGGAAATAATTAAATGAGGACTTTTGATGTTGCCTGGCATTTGTGAAAAATCACAAGCGGTACTGGCTGACTTCTACGAGGAACTAAATGTTTTTTCATTTCCCAACGCTGCCATTTAGGAGCCGAGAGTGGCAATAATCACTTTTGATCCAAAGCATGAAAGAGGTTTTGATGAGCAACAGCATATTGTGAAGTTCAAGCAGGAGTACTGCACCTCATTAGTTGGGGAAATTCCAACCATGTACCCACACCAGCACTGGATTGGCGGTAATTGAATCGGTTTCATGCTTCTTTGGCTCAAGAAAAGAAAGATAAGAAGAAGAAAAAAAAAAAAGTCTTTCACCCATCATTTCTTTTTGAATGTACTTTAGGAAATAGCCTCGGCTGTATTCTCTTATCGAACCAAAACAAACAGCCAAATTCATTAAAGTTTGTGTTCTTAATAATTCCCAGGAGGGACTTAAACTCTTCTACGGTCTAGTTGTGTAAATTAATAAGGAGTAAGGTTCGCATTAGTTGAACAAGTCACTTACTGTAAGACTCTTATCTTTACGACTATTAGAAAAGAGTAAGTCACATTCCAAGCGATGCCGGTTGATTAGTCCGTTAAATCGGCCGTCACAGGCCATTTAGCCACCAACAAACGGAACAGAGTCCTTCAATGTGAGCTTTCAGTGGGCTCTGTGAACACATCATGGCCGGTGTTGTTTCTGGCAGCGAGAAGCATAAACGCCAGCGTCCCATTTCCTAAAGTCAGACGCAGTTTGTGGAAACTCGGCGGGGGCATTCTGTCAGTGGGCTTAATTGCACCACAATCATCAAGAGTAAATCAGCGCCGTGGGAAGCGATGTCCGTCTAAAGGCCGGCGCATGCTTCTGCGTCTGCGTCGTTGTGTCGACGCACTCGTTTCAATTCATGGTTCTGCGTGTGTTGCAGAGCAATTCATCGCCAGAACAACAGGCGGAGTGACGTGTTTTGTTGAAGACGACCTAGAGAGTCACGTCTATTTATTTATTTATTTATTTGTTTATTTATCATAGACTTTATTGCCCCGTGCATCGCCACTGCTGCTTTTCATTGCGGACACATTTGTCCCGTATTTTCCTCCACAACTTTGTGCACCTCTCGACCGGCAAACCGGCGTTTGCGGCGATCTCCCTCCGTGAATCCAACCCGCTTCTACAACCCGCCAATGACGGCTTGTATAAGCGGCCATATTTACGCATTTCTTCCGACAAAAGCTCTTAAATCTGATCCGTTCTCTCGTAAACATTCTTCGTTTTAATAATGGCGGTATCGGGCTATGAAAGCGGAAATGTGAGACTCCGTAAAGGACGTAGTTAGCAGACCAATCGCAGCCTGGTGCGACGCAAGCCTAGAAAAATGGGTCGACACACGCAAGGACGCAAGGAGGTGTGAAAAGGCACGCAAGGGACGCGCAAGGGGGTCTTGCGTCTGCGTCACTGAAAACGCAGAAGCATAAATTAGGCTTAAGCGGGTACCTGGGAAGCCCTGGAAAGTAACTCTGTCCCCTGGTGCCGCTCCGCTCGGAGGATCCAGGATCTCCACCTTGTCTGGAGAGCTGGCGCACATGACCATCGCCTGGGACACGACCCCTCTCATCTTAGCTGGCTTCAAGTTACACATCAGGACTGCCATGCGGTTCTGCATCTGCATGGGGGGACGGAAGATTAAATGCCCTCTTACATACAATATTACCATGACAATCGAGAAGAAATTCCAGTGATTTGGTTTGATTCCACAATCCAATATAAAGCATAATGCTGATCTGTTAATCTAGAATGGCTTCGTCCGAGGTTTGACTCGTTTCATAAAACAAAAGTGAAAGGGCTGTAACTCTAGTCTGGAGAGTCCAGTCTCGTTGCATTTTTAATTATTCATCTCAAGTCAGGTCCAGAATGTAAATGTTCGGCAACAGTATTTACAAAATGAACAGTTTAATTTGATCAAATTATATATATATATATATATAACTGTAGCGTATCCACTTAAAACATTAGCCATGGTCGTATATGTTTGTATAAAATGCATCATTACAAGTAACAATGTAATGAGTTGATTTAAAGCTGTGGTCTATAAATATCAGAATGTCAGAAACACTAACAACGATACATTTGTTTGCTCAATGAGCAAAACATAAATGTCAAAATAAAGTAGTACCTTACACTATTACTTAAGTAGTCACACTGAATGGACCAATAAATTCTTATTATGACCCTAGAGAGCCATTAATACGTATAAACCTACACAGCCCTGCTTGTGTCTCAGGTGGAAACCACTCTTAAGTAGAGACTAAAGGGATTCATAAAGCCTGTACAAAGATAAATGTTGTGTTCAGGTCTACATTTCCCTCACTCATAAGCAGAAGGTTGGCAGATGGCGCTTTTGACATCTACAGGCTTCCTGGAGCCCGCTGAGACGTTCAGGAAGAAGCCAGATCATTGAATGTGCAGGAATCCGAGTTCCTTGACCCATCACAGTAAATTCTGACATCACATGATGTTGCAAATATGTCTTTATTCTACTGCAGATACCTCTTGCGCCAATGTATTGTGTTAGCTTTCTGTATATCAATACCAATATACAAGTTATAGTGTACCTGATCCAGAGGGATGTGCTTGACCAGTCCGCTGACCACCGTCCTGGGAGAAGCCTCCCCGACATCCACCTGCTCCACATATAGACTGTCGGCATCTGGGTGCGTGTCGGCTGTGATTATACGTCCGACGCGCAGGTCCAGGCGAGACACGTCCACCTTGGCATCTTCCTGGCTGGGGGGGGCCTGCTTCTTCTCAGCTTTCTCTCCTCCTGGCATACAAGAAAGGCGAATACGAGGTTGTACTACACAATTGTTGTATCATTTAGGTTTATCTTTGCAATTCATCGGTGTCATTTCGATGAACCCGAGGTAGAAATCCGGGATCTGTCAGCCGTGAGGGGAAGGTCTGCTGCGAGACGAGAGGCATCTGTGAGAGTTTTCATGCCATCATCTCTAAATGTGCTTAACGGGAAATTGTTGTTTAAAAGCACTGACATTATCATAGCCAACTGGTATTGTCCCAAGGGAAATAAGCAAATCACATTGGACGCAATACTAGGCATCTGTCTGGAATCCGATTTCATTTCCTCCCATAAATAACAAACCCATCAATGACAGGCCTCGGGGTTGCACTTTTGCACCCCTTCCCAGAAACGCGGGGCACAAGCCTTGACTGAATGAGCGCACCGAGGCGCCCTTTGGAAGCGAGCGCTTTATGATCCAGCGACACAGCGAAATAGCAGATGCTTCCTCCCGCGAGACGGAGTAGCTTTCACTCGCCTGGTTTGCTTACACATTCATTCCAGTTGCTCGCAGTGATCAAATGGCCGCGGGGTCTTTAATCATTCCTCTGAAACGACACCAGCTCTGATGAATATGCAGTTCAACCCAACGCCTTTTGACATTTCTACTGCGTGGAATAAATGCTCTGCTGCGACGCCAGCACAGCGAGGCTGCACGTTGGTTTGTTGGACTACGAAGCTGTGATTTTTGGGGATTAGGTGAGAACACATTAGATTAGCGTGAACGGTTAAAGATTTTTACACGTGCCACTCATAAGATGTTCAAAGCCATTATATGTGACACATGGGGATACTTTGGTTTCATGACGGCTCCCGACATGACACCTATCCACAAGCTGCTAACATTTAATCAATCTCAAATTGGGTTCAATTACAGGTGACGTTAGATAAGCAAGTCTCTTCACACACGAAGCTCAGAATTCATAAAAGTCAAAAGCAAATGAAGCTCCACAAAAAGTCTTCCTACTGAAGCCCAGAGATCATTGAGAGACCGGTAGCGCTGTCATACAATCATTATCACATGAAATGCAAGTGGAAACAACGGGTTTGGAGAATCCCAATGGACTTTTAAGCGCACAGGGCATCTTTCTAACTATTGATTAAAAAGAACATTTAGCAAAAAAATATACGTTTTTTTCTGCAGTGACCAGCAGTTTCGTAGCTTTGTCGTGGATGCGTGATTGCAATTTGGAACCTGGACGTCCCAAACAAAGCACATAAGAAAATACAGGAAGAGAGCAGGTAAAGACACACTCTTCAAGGTACTAATTATCTTGTGCGAATCAGGAATAGCCTTCTTATTCCGCCTTCAAGTTCCAAATAATAATAATGGTAATGTTGATAAAGTAGGAGCACAACCTACAGTAATTAGAGGGCACTTTTATGGCTTTAATAAAGTCATTTCTAGTGAAAAACAAATAGATGAAAAACAAAAACTCTTCAAAAGGATTCATAAAAAAAAAACACTGCAATGTGGCTTCCTTTTGTTCTCCAGTCGTTACCTTTTTTTTCTGGCTTCTTCTTCTTACCCTCTTCTTTGAGGGGGGGGCTCTGGGCGTTAGCAGCAGGGGAAGCAGAAGCTGCCGGTCCAGACGGTTTAGGAGGGCCGGGCTTGGAAATGCACTCAACGCCGTGGTCACTGGACGGCATGGCCATCGAGTGGCTCCCTGCAGGAGGGCAAACGGGCCAAAGGTCGGTCAGAAAAACACGATATGAATAGCGGTCTGAAGGAAAAATACTTTGTACGCACAGGAGATAGTTGCATCAACAAGGTACAACGAAATGATACAGAGGGAGATTTATTTACACACCCAGTGGGAGGATTGCTCTCCTGATGCAAACAGTTTAGATGGGAAAATGACACAGTGTCCAAGTTGATGGAAACGAGGAAATGGAGCCATAACGCAGAGAACAATGTCCTGCAATAACTCTACAGGAAAAATAACCCCTCATTTAAGGCGCCTGATGTTTGAATTCCTACAAAAATCCAGTGCCTATGTCTGACAAACATCGGTCGGCAGGCACACCACCGTCGCCATAATGCTTTTAATTACCTTAATTCTATGTTAGGACCTGAGCTCAGGATCTTTCCGGTTTATCTTGGAATTACAGGCAGCAACCTCTTAAACTGTTGACATCCCCCCCCGTAAGGTCGCTGTGAGGTTATATGGTTTCACTAGTATATCAAAACCTTCAATAAATCAATTATTGTAGATGTACTGTGCATTATTTTATTCATGCATCTTCGGAAACAATGGAAGCTTGACTAGAAGTTCAAATTAAGGCTGCATTTTTCCATAATGTTGTAATAAAAATGGTTGAAATGACTTTGTAGAATGTAAAAAGAGGATTGCTGGTAGTTATGGACCCACAGAGAATTACCAGCTACAGGGGTTTCTTTTAGCCTGTCGCAGCTCGGCTTTCTGACCCAGCGTCTGGCTGGTGAACACACTGAAGCATTTAGAGGGCAAAGCAGGAGTTGATGGAGGCCAAAGCCCTAAAATAAAAAAGGGCAAATGTTCGTCTTCAATTCGTCACGGTTATTTTTCTCAAAGTACTATTAAATTCATATTCAATAGTTTTTCCCCGCATCTCAATAACAAATGAGCTAAAGTCTGAAAGCGCTTTCAAAAAGTTCTTATTCATTCGTCTTCCGATGGAGCCATTTAATGCCACCTTAAAACCACTGAAAGGAAGCGCCAAAAAAGATAAACAATTTATTAGAAACACAGTCTTTGGTATATTGGAACGCATTCCTTCTCTGTTCCAACACTTAACTAATTGGCTCTTTTGCAATAAGGTTTAAACTGCTCATTTCTTCCAGCCCCGCAGCGTCTTTCTGGAAAACATTAAATGTGTGTTAATGATCTGAGCTGTTTGGCCTTTAATGTCAATGTATGTCAGATGCACATGGCTGACAGACATGTTGTCCCCATCACCGTCTGTAATAGGGATTCTTGAAGCACCACGGCTGCTTAAATTATTTAAAATTTAAAAAGGGGAAAAAATACTGGGGTGGGGCGACGATGCAAAAGCTGCTGTCCTTCACAGTAAACCAGACAATGCTCTAACGGGCAACAACTGACATCAAATGTCTCTAATGTAACACAACCGCTTCGACAACTGCGTGTGAAGAATAACCACATCAAGGTCTTTTGAAAGACAAACACACATTTGATCCATTGGTCCTGCGAAACAAATCCAACGTACCTCCCTTCTTCTTCTCTTTTTCCAGCAGCTGTTTTTTCAGTTCCTCGATGTCATTCTTCAGTTTGGCATTCTCCACCATCAGCTTCTTCTCTTCTCTGACGCTGGCCTGGACCACTGCAGCAGAGCACATTCTTGTCAGCCCTCAGCGCTGGAATGAAGTTGCACTATTCAACAGGAACTGATCAGAGCCGCTGATCTGATACAAAGACATCATGGCCTTCAACTTGGTGACTACCAACATCTACAGTCTCTCTCTTTTGGAGTTAGAAAAATCCACAAAATTGTCAATGAATCCCATTTTTGAAATCCCATGGCGTCTTAATTAAGGCAGTACTTTATCTTCAATAATGTTATAACAATAAATAACAGTTCGAGGGTTGCCTAACAACACCCTCGAACTGTTGGATGATTGGACGATAAAGTACAGCCTCTCGTACCTTATTGCTTTTATAATACTATTCATCATTTTGCTGGTAACCGTAAGTAAATAGCTGCCTTTCAGCACAAAATTGTTGTAGCCACCAAACGTTGTATATTGCATTTCAGTATTCTAGAGAAAAATAGTCCCCATACGTGCATGTAAACAGCATTGGGTCTCCTTGCAAGATCTCGCAGCATCTCATTCATTCACAACGCCCACGACGTCCACCTCAATTGTCCGGTTGCGAAAGCTCGCATTGCCCGAAACCGATCATGTGGGTGTGTCCGGTCTTTTCGGTCTTCTCGATCGCCACCGAGCTAAAAGCTGAAATGTCAACTAACGGTCGCGCTAAATCAAACCCGTTATTTTGAGTGCGCAGTGATACAGAACGCTCGGGTCAATGTGAACGGCAACTGTACATTATCGCTGAATAATGCACCCACCCGTGACTCACTCTCAACCAATCAGAACGCTGGATTTCATCTACCCGTATTTTAAGTTACAGTATGACACTGTCCTAACTCCTTTGGAATAATAAACGTCTTCCATTGTGCAAGTGATACAATTATCAATGGAGAAGGTCACAAGGAGTATGCAGAGGACATTTATCATTTACACAGAAATAGAACTTTCTTCGCTCATATTTTGTAAAAATAAACAACGTGTTTAAAACGTTTTTTAATTTCTTGATTCATTAATTAGTGCCCGGAATATATTTGGCTCATTCAAGCTTTCAAAAAACATGGGAAATTATCTTCATTGATAATTCTTCTAAATCCACGTACACTTTCCCGAATAACTGGGGCCTCAGGCATCATAAAACAGCTTGTAGTCGACGGTGAGTTCACTCTTTAAATCAGGCGACTGTAAATCATGCACGTAGGCCAGAAGTACGTCTCTCTTAAAGCCGATAAATAAATAAATAAATCATGTGCTGCAGCTCCAGACGAGACAGGCCTTTCCGCAGGGAAATATAGACCCATTTAGAAACACAACTTTATAACTCAAAACATACATATGTATGTATAATGTATTGGGCAAAATACATGTAACAGCACTGAATTGTCGGGTTGTGCGGGTCTGCGTGTGTCTCCTACCGGTTTTCTCCTTCAGCAGCTGGACTTGTTGTTTGAGGTACTCGATGATCTGGTCAGCCTCGGTCGCTCGCTGCTCCAGCCTCAACAAAGGATTGTGACTCGACATCTTGAACAAAGAGCGAGCTAAAAACCTAACAAAACCAAAGAAAAGACAGACATTCTTCAATATAGAAAATAGATTGAACTGAATACATTCTGCAAATTCTGCTATCAATTTCTGGGTTTTATCAAAGGGGCATCTCTCCTCATGTTTGAAATGGAGCCAAGTGTTCATGCATCAAGCTCACAACTAAAAACAATGCTTTTGTTACCCTGTTGCAGGAAATTCACTCAAGTGAAACATTGTAAAAAGAGATGGTATTCTTAAGTACTATGCTGAACGTCTACAAAGATACATGTTTGGAGTTACAAAGTTTGCATTCCAGTACAACCACAAACTACAGCTCTTCTACTCCCGCCTACTTCTCTCCGACAGTCAGAACAAAAACATTTCATTTCTGTAAAGGTGTTGCTGGGCTCTTCTATAGGACTACATTACATTGTACAATAATTTCCTATTTTATTTATTAAGGTACTGGCACTGACAACAATCAGAATCTGCCGCCGTCAATGATACGTGCCGTCTCAGGAAGTATAAACCGTGTCTTGTTGGACGACTTTCTTGACAAGTTATATTATTGAAATAATTGAATTCTGTCTTTCATATTAACATATGAAGAAGTTAAATTCAGAGGTTTATCCACTTAGCATCAAGTTCACAGGCATTCAACTTCAAAATGGTCCAACTTTTAGGCCACTCGACTAAAACACAACTTGACACCAGTTTGTTTTATTTGCGGTAATGTTCCATTTATCATGTTGAGATTGGCAAATTAAATTGAATAAAAAAAGTAAACAGGAAAAGAACCATTTTTTTTTTTTTAAGGCTGAGGCATGGAGAAGAAAACTTCTTACACGTATTACAGGGAGGCGCCGCAGAACAACAGCTGGCCCGAGATGAAAACAAAATGTTGTGTGACGAGGAAATGAGAAACACAAAAGAACTGGAGTGGATAAAATCAAGGAACAAAGCATTGCTCTTTGAGAAACCCAATTGATTTAAACAGGACCGGGGGTGGAGTAATGTCAAGAGCCACAAAAGGCTAATTTCATTTGGAAAACCCTGGAAAATGAGTCCTGGGGCCCGAGGCCTGATTCATCTCCTGCTTTGCAAACTAGCAGGTTAACAGTGCTAAACACGGGACCGCTGATGCTCAAGTTGGGAGGTTTTTGCATGATCAAACTCCTAAAAATAGCCACGGCTGACTGGTTTGCATCGTCAACATTTCTCCACACAAACGTTTTATGTCTATATTCATTATAAACTTAAAACATAAACGATAATACTGCACAGCCATAAACTAAACAGGTGGTTTTCTCTGATACGGTGTTGCTGAGCAGACCCACCAGTATAAGTGTTTGCTCATTTCATGGTTCCTTTCCACAGTAAAAATAAACTATGAGGATACTTCCCCACCTGTCTGCCAGCCAGACAAATATAAATATAAAAAAAGAACAGTATGCCAGCACCACCTGAAGGCATTACAGGGACCTACAGCTGAAAGCTGTGGGGGGGGTCTTTAGCCCAAATGCAATTCAATTAAAGGCTTTAGCCATAAACTGTACCAGTAAAAAGATTTTTTTTAGTCTCTCAGATATTTTTAATAATAAATAAATATATTTACCCTCCTATCTCATCATGTTTCACATTTTTCAGAATACACGTGCAAAAACAAAATCAACACACAGCGGAAAGAGAGCAAAAATAATCACTAATAATTTAGACATGTCAATAATGTTTGACAATGCAGAATTATGTTATCACCAATTACTGTATATGCCTGCATAAAAAGATGCATTAAATATTTAGTTATTATACTGCTGAGTGCCCATTGGGATTCAGAGGCGTAGTCATTGCACAGGCGTATTTAACCTAGTGGTGCTGAAAGGATTGAATGGGATCATGTTAGTTAAAAAAAGAAAAAAAAGACGTTTTGTATACAAATTCAAATCATGCAGCTTAGTGTGTTCTTGTGATTAGTGTGTTCTTGTTTAATGAATTATGTTATTTGCATTTGCTTTCAAATGTAAGGTTTGACATAACAATAGGTTATGCATTTAGACAAAATTGGCAAATCACTGAAGAAGAAGACTAAATGGAGTAACTTGCAAATACAGAAATCAAACTACAATCAATACATTTCGGGAAAGTTAATGCTAGGCACACAATTAAAATGTAGTGTGATATGTGGAGGATTTTACGGAAGTTGTAGGTGAATTCATTATTAACTGTATTCGGTTCAGCTAAAACGGAACATGGATCTTCAACAAGACCGTGACAAGGGACCTCAACGTTAACTTAGACTTTGGGCTAACTATCATGTAGCTAGCACTGACGAACCACTGGTTGTGTGGTTGGTTAGAGGTTATTCACGACTTACAATCGGTTAGTTAAAACAAATAAACAGGGTTTTTTTTAAACTCACATGGACTCTGAACCGCAACCCCAACACGTTTCATGGAGATGTGGGGGCTTGACAGCTGCTCGTAACGACTCCTGCTACAGCTAGCCAGCTAGCTGGCTGACATGCAGTCAGGCAGCTCGAAGCTGCTCTGGGGGCCTTCCTGTTAGATCTCTACAGCATCCGGATACGGAACATGTTCGTGTGTTTTCCGTTACGGTGCGACAGCCAAATCTTTTATAGATCGGATACCGTCGCAAAAGGTAAGCAGGCAGCGTAGAATGCCCGTGTGTAATAACTACAATGCAAAACAAACTCTTACAAATATACGGTAAAACAATTATTAATGGGCAATCTTGTTGAGAGTTTTTCAAATAATTTAGTTTGATTTAAGTTACATATTGGTTTTGTTTTTTCAAAATACTTGTCGCACACAAATGACGCCATTGGTCACGTTCCCTCAGCTCTTCCCATCACATCGCAGAGGCAGGAAACGAAATCCTTTTAAATGTTTTTATGCTAATTTCTATTTCATCCCGTTGACATGGCATTACAGCTTTACCATTAAGTGTGAGTAGACTCGTTATTTTGATGTCATGCACATCACATTAATATTCCCCCATCCAGTCTGAACAACGTTAGTCATGCACGTTATTTTCGTAAAATAGCTAAACTAACGTTAGCTTAGTGGGTTTATCTGCAGCAGCAGGGTGTCATTTGTTGCCGAACTTAATTTGCAATTATATAGTGTGAATATTATCTTTTATTTATTACTCACCAGCTAGTACTTTAATGACCTTTCACTTGCTCTAATGGTGGTCTTTACCTCAGCAGATGTTTACATAAAGCATGGACATTTAATTGATGTTTTTAACGCCCTGTGGTGGTATGACTTAAATGAGAACACAATTTAACATATCATGGTGACGATCAGAATGTTCTGCTCATTCATACATGTATGTTGTCGCATATTATCCATGAGTCCTGTTGAAGTCTCTCTCCCATCATCAGTGCTTCTAGCCGGTGGCAGGATGAACCCTCTGAAAGACGCACAGCTGGGGGCCTTCACCTTCTTTGCCTCAGCGCTTCCTCATGATGTCTGTGGTAGTAATGGCCTCCCTCTCACCCCCAACTCCATCAAAATCCTGGGACGTTTCCAGGTCCTCAAAACCATCACTCATCCCAGACTCTGCCAATACGTGGACATGTCCAGAGGGAAACACGGTATGACTCTGTGTCTTCCTCTTTGTAAAGGGTCCAACCTGTATATCCTCTCCTCCCACTTGATTACATATTATTGTATTTCCTATTTTTCCCCTGATGTGTTCTCTCACTCAGCTTCTCCAAAACATACCTGAAAAAGTAGACCCTGGGTATTTGTTAAGGTTGCATGCTGTTGCTCTGTGTTTAATGCTAGTTGGCTGGGATTAACATGCAGGTCTGTTGTTAATTGAATTGCGTTGGATTTACAGTTGGATAAAAATAATAACATAGTGTACAACTGCGTTTCATTATAGTCCAATAACACAAGTTACCATTTCAACATTTTATCAGGGGATTACAGCTAAAATGTATGAAGCTAATGTTTTTGGCACAGCACCAATGAAGCATAAAGGTGTCAAAAACATGAATACATTACATGTGTATTTTAATCTTAAAATTTTTCCTCATGCTGTACAGAACGACTGATTGTTGTTGCTGAACACTTTGAAAGCAGTTTAAGTGACTTTCAAAAACAAGGGAAAACAGTCAGGTGAGATTCTTTGAAAAAAAATCCTCATAAACTATTGAAGTATTTTACAATTTGTTTTCTACCTTCGCTCTAACTGGTGAGCTGTTTTTTAGTTACTCTTGTTCCGTTGCTTGATTACATTGGCATGGAAATACTATGCGTGGACTTTGCCATCTACTGGCTGAGCGTTTGTAAATTAAAAACAGTCAAATTTCTAATGCTTAACTGTTGAAAACTTAGATAAATTGTTTGTTGTGTCTTTTCTCTGACCCAGTCAACACTTGTTTGACACATTGTCGGGGTATTTTGTTTGTGTCAGCCCAGGGAAGCTGCTGCAGGTAGCTTACGAGGTCCTCGAAGGTCTGGAATTCATGAACAAACATGGTATGGTGCACAGAGCCCTCAGTGCACACAATGTGCTCATGGACTGCAAGGTAAAATTAGGCCTACATATGTATTTATATATTTAAGTGACCACAAGTTTGTCCAATTAAAATACATATGATTTGTTTAGTGTTATACTGTGTGACTGTAAGACCTTTTTTTTCTTCATAGGGGAATGTTAAGCTGGCAAAGTTTGGCCTTTATCACATGACTGATCATGGGGCTGACGTAGATTTTCCCATTGGGTACGTCTCTTTCCTCCTTGTTCATCGCAGAGAAATAGTGCTCTGCGTTTTATGCACTCGGTTCAGGTTCAAATTTTCACTTTGTCTGTTTGCTGTTAGTCCAATCATAAAGAAGGCAAATATAATTGACGCATAACAGTCCATTGCTTTTTAATGGAAAACAGATTTTAGGGCTTCAAAATAACTTCCTGCTTTGGAAACCGTAACAGATCGTTGGACTTTTGTCCTAATCCAAAGGCCTTTCTGCTCAACCAAGTATCTCTGTTTAATATCCTTTGGCAGAACGAAAAGAGGAATGATGGCACATACCCATGAATCTCAATAACATCTGGATTAACAAATTTAATAAATGTAACTTCTAGAACAGCGTTGCACATTCTCAGGAACAACAGAATATACTTCAGTTAACAACAGAAATGTGAGCAATATGTGTGAACCTTCCCTCAGGTACCCATCATACCTTGCTCCGGAGGTGATTGCTCAGGGCTCTTTCCACCCCAGTGACTCTTACCACGACGAGGCTCCTCTGCCTTCAGGACCCAAGACGGACGTGTGGTCGCTTGGGGTTTTGCTGTTTGAATTATGCGCAGTAAGAATCCTTTTACAACCCCTTCAGACAAGAAAAATCCATCCTGTTTGGGTTAGCCAGAATTCAAGCTGCATGGATCGTTTGCCCCATCGGTTCTAATGCTGTAAATCACTTACAGGGCAGACGACTGCTGCTGAATATTGATATTAGTGAGAGGCTGAAATTCATCCTAACTTTGGGTAAGTTTAAAAAAAAGTCCACGTACTGAGCATATATGCTCTTTAATTGCATTGGGCTCACAAAGGGACGTTGTTTGTCTTCCTCAGGTTGCATAGACGACATTGTCACCGTCCTCGCTGAGGAACATGGTTGCCTGGATGCCATCAAGGTGAAGTCAAAATCATTGGCTGCCTAGATTTAAGTTAATGATGAAGAACATATAAAAAAAGGACATAAAGTCGCATTTAGATCGCATTATTGGCATCACACTTGTTGATTAAAAAAACATATTTCATGGTTCCACTTACCAGTGATACCAAACTGCACAATGCATCATGTATTCAACCACACATGTAGTACTATTTTAGATTCTGTGTAAGTACTACCTAAGCTTTTGTGACATTTTGGTGGGATTATTGGAAGTTTAAATAGCACTTGTGTGGATTTTGTGTTCTCTAGTTAACAAGGTCTTTTATTTACAGGAGCTGCCTGAAAATGTCCTTGCATTATTAAGAAAATGCTTGACATTTCGTCCATCCAAAAGGTAACAGGACATTGAAATGATACGTAAATAGATAGAATAGAAGTTATTGTGTTACAACTTTTATGACTTTATATTAATAAATATTCAATATAATAAATGATCAGTTCTCAAATTACAACATTAAGGCGCACTCTGTGTTTGTGGATATTTTTCTGTGATGACCTTGTTGGCTGTTTGCCCTGCAGGCCGACCCCTTCAGACCTGCTGGGAGACCCTGTGTTTAGTGGCGTTTCGGACCTCTACACCCCCTTCAAGAAGCCCGTCAGCCTGTTCTCTTCCTCTCTTCGCTGTGCACATCTGGAACTCCCAGAAGACATCAGGGAACTTTGCAAAGGTCTCCCCAACTTGACACATGCAGCCTTACCCATCTACCCACCCGTGGGGATGGGTAGATGTTCACTTCTTTGTGTGTTTATGTGTTATTAGACGATGATGACGACTACCTCTCGGAGCGGGGCATAAATGAGGTGTACCATCTGTGGTGTCTGGCTGGGGGAGACCTGGAGAAGGAGCTGACCAACAAGGAGATTATACAGTCCAAGCCTCCAATCTGCACACTGCCCAAGTACAGTACGCACACATGTACACGCGGATGATGAAGGCATTTGATAACTTCAGTTGATATTCTATATACTGATCACACATCTCCCTCTTTCTTTCTGTCTTTAGTTTTGTCCTGGAAGACGGGGAATCATTTGGCCAGGGAAGGGACCGCAGTTTCTTACTTGACGACACAACAGTGACGTTGTCTCTGTGCCAACTCCGAAACGTAAGACCCAAACAAGGAGACGTGTACAATATTTGTATGTATGGAGAAGATGAAACCGATACAATATTTGGACCAATTACCTTTTATATATTGAAGTTGCAACAATATTGTAGGGTTTGATGTTTTTGGTTTAAACCGTGAGATTCTTTTATTATTACATTACATTACAGGTCATTTAGCTGACCCTTTTATCCAAAGCGACTTACATTACATTTATAACCCATGCCATTTTACATTTTTGCCTGGGGAGCAATTCGGGGTTAGGTGTCTTGGGACACTTCGACATGGGACATGGGGCAGCCGGAACTTGAACCACCAACCTTGCAGTTCCCAGCGCACCACGTCGTATAAATATTCATCACTAATGTGCAAATGATGGCTAAATTTGTCAAAGCAAATTATAGATCTGCTAAAACAGAAAGATTACATCAGATCAAATCAGGAAAAGTCACTCACGCAATATGACAGATAAAATCAAAGACTAGACTCTTACTCTCATGTGGTCCAGCTTTGGCGGTACTTTTCTCAATTTTTTATCCAGTTTTAAAACTCTTCTACCATCATTTTGTTATAAACGTAGGAAAGAAAATGGTACAACAACAAATGCTCATTTTGTTAGTTGATAACTTCTCTAATAGATAATACCATAATACATTTATGTTGTAAGTGGTTCCAAAATGCACCTTTCAAAAGAATTCAACCTTAAATTTTAAATCTGTATTTTGTTTTTTCAT